CCAGCCTCTAGACACCAGGGTGGGCTACATCCAGGGCTCTCTTCTCCATGTGTTCTTTTCCGTGGCTTTAAACGTTTCTATGGTAATAACGCTGGAACTTTAATCTCCAGCCTAAACTTTTCCTCTCACTCTAGGCTTGAACATCCACTCCTTGGATGTTACGTAGGCATCTCAAATTTTACATGTCCGAAAGAACTCTTGGTTTTTTCCCCTCTAGATCACTTCCTCCCTTGTCTTCTCTTCGCAGTAGGTAACACCACCACCTGTCTGTCTGCTCAAGCCCAGAACCTCGTCCCTACCTTTCTCTTGTCCCCCTCACGTTCCCTCCATCAGTAGGTCCCATCACTTCTGCTCCAGGGTGTATCGTGACACTATCCCTTTATTTGTGTCTCCACTGCCACCACCCTCGTCTGAGCCTGTGCTCAATCACGGAGTCCAGTGCTTCTCACACTGTCTGGTAAAGGAGCAGCGGTTTTCATTTCTGATGCACTGTGACTGATACTTCTGTGCAGCTTTGCCACAAGGGTCTGTTAGACGACAGCTGTCGGGCGAGTTAAACAGGATGGCTTGTGCCCTGTGCGGTGACACAAGCCCACTGGTCACACGCTGGGATGCCGCCGCCACGTGACATGGCTGCAAAGGTTCTGAGCATTTGCTCTCCGTCCCTGTAATAACCTCCCTGGACTGGAGACAGACAGCTCTCGGGGGGCTCTGGCCTGCTGACCACACTCCGAGTGGCGCTGACAAGGCTGCCGGAGCCAGCTGGGCCCCCTGCTTCCACTCCGCATCTTCTCTGAACCGCTTCCACAGAGCAGCCAGAGTTGCCTTGTAAAGCAGAAATCACATCTCCCCTTTTCCCTGTTCAGAACCTTCTAAGGAGCCAGGGTTTTAATGGGCAAAATCCTGCTCAGTCTGCTTGCTGCCTCACCCTCCACCTCAGCCCGTAGTGCTCGTCCAGTCCTGCGTCCCTGGACAGGCTGGAATCCTGCCTTAGGGCTCTCTCGGCTCTCAGCACGATGGCTCCTCGTCTGTGGGTTTCAGTTTAAGTATCACTCCTCCCGGTGTGTCCAGACCACCCTCCCTAGACATGCACCCCCCAGGTCCCTCCTGGTCTGTGCCTGCCTACTCTGTGCGCCCTCAATAGCACTTGTGCAGTCTGTGTGTTTATCTACTTGTCTGCCGTCTCTCTCCCTGGGGTCGGAGGTACTTCTGGGCACACGCACCTCATGTGTCCTGTTTACCACTTCGTAAGTGTGCGTTAGACATGAATGAATGAAGCTTCACGGAGGAGCAGGCCTCTGAGGATGTGAAATAGTTGAGAACTGACTGACTGACTTTTACTTCTTTACCAGGGTTCATTTCAAGGATGTATAAGCAGTACGCAAGGTTTGGGGGGATTCGAAGCCCTCACCGCCTTGTGACAGGGCAGCGCTGGGTGTTGGAATGGAAATGGCTTTGACACTGATTAGCTCCGCAGGCTGGGGCAAGTTCCTGCTTGCCCGAGTCTTCTTCACCTGGAAAAGGGGAGGGTCTGTTCATGAGGACTTGGAGGTTGTCTGACCGACCTGTCGGCACCACCCTGTCTGTCCTTCCAGTTCTTTTTGTGAACTCTAAAGCTGTTTTACAGGCTGGGAGTAAAAATTCTGCAAAGGTGAGAGTTAGCCGAGCTGAAGTAGGTGTGGCGTCTTTAACAAGTTATAAAGTGAGCCATAATAGTTAACAGTGCCTACATCAGAGGTTGTAAAAGTGAAATGACCCACGGCCAAGCCAAGGCAGTGCCTGGGCTGTGGTTGGTGCTAAGTGTCAGCTGTTGTTATTACTCTTATGTATTTAAGTCCTAACCTACACATGTCTCTTTTTGGGGGATGAAACTGCTAATTTTAAAAACATAAGGGTCATGATACTGATGTCTGAGCAGGTTGAAATTAAAGGGTGTAAAACAGGAAAAAGGGAGGCCTCATGACAAAGGCTATAATCCATAATAAATTCTGGCGAGTCCTCACGCACCAGATAACTTAGCCGAGGCATCATGGAGCAAAACCTGCAGGAAATTCAGGAAACCCGCAGGAGCAGTTGCAATGTGTGCAACCTAGCAAAACGAGGAAACAGCAGAGAAAGAAAGAACTCCAGTCCCTGGACACCTGGAGTACTTTATATACCCCAACCCCCAATCTTATTTTCCAAGTAAGAGTTGGGTAATATTTTTGATAACATGGTTATACTTTATAACAGTCATATTTTGAAAGAGACTTGATAATTGAAATATTGCTTTTTTAAAAGTCACAATTAAAAAGAATTATTTCATATTAACTCAGATGAGATTATGTTTACAGTTAATTTCTAGTTTTAAGAGAACAGTACATCCAAACACTTTTGTATTGCTATGCCATTTTAAATGACACCTTTATAAAGAAAAAGCAGAAAGCAGTAAGAGTGTATGAAGTAATGGCTGAGGATTTCACGTCGTGACTGGATAGTACTACTTTTTAATCTTGTCACTTAATTAAGACAAAATCAGCCGTAGTCTGTGAAGCATTGGTGTACCTAAGACCTTTCTGTATTCTCTTCAGGAGTTATAACTGTAAACATTGACCGGTTTATAACTGGTATGGTTTAGGTCCGTTTTGACTTTTTTAAAGGTTCCAAGTTTAAAGACTATTCATGTTTTTCCTTCGCATACCTGGATCTAAATGTTCAAAAGAAACACTTGGATATGTTTAAGCAGATGCATTTCTAGCCTGGATGTAGCAGAGTTCTATTTAAGTGCTTTTTATCTTTTCCTCCACAGACTCAGTACTCCTTTAAGCAAGTATTTGGCACTCACACCACCCAAAAGGAGCTCTTTGATGTTGTGGCCAACCCCCTGGTCGAGGACCTTATCCATGGCAAAAATGGTACGATTCTTGGGGTTTTGTTGAACTTTCCTCCCCCCCCCCCGTGATAAAACTTAAACATTTGGTTTATGTTTGGCCTTGAACTCAGGGCTAATTTGTCTAGGTGGTATTAAATCTGCCTTTTGAACTAGTTAATTTCGAGTGTTTTTTAATACACTAAAGAAATACAAGTGGAAGACTTTAAGATAGACCCCTGTGTGACTTTGAATAGGTGACTGTGACTTGTGCATTGTAGGTCTCCTCTTCACATATGGTGTGACGGGAAGTGGGAAAACCCACACCATGACTGGGTCTCCAGGGGAAGGAGGACTCCTTCCGCGCTGTCTGGACATGATCTTCAACAGCGTGGGGTCGCTGCAAGCCAAACGATACGTAAGTGTGGTTCTTCTGAGTCCCTGGAGGGCACAGGGACCACGACGCCCGTGGATAAAGCGGTATTAGGGAGAACTAAGGCGTCAGATATGTTTTGAACCTTAAATATGTTTGAATATTAACTGTTTCTTACTTCTTAAATACATTTTTTTTTCTTTTTACTATTTAAGTCAAAGTCTAAAAGTCACAGTCTGATTTCGCCCCCCTTCAGGTCTTCAAGTCTAATGACAGGAACAGCATGGACATACAGTGTGAAGTCGACGCCTTACTAGAGCGGCAGAAAAGAGAAGCCACGCCCAACCCGAAGACCCCCTCTAGCAAGTGAGTGGTTGTGTCTGTGCAGCACTGGCGTCCAGTGGTGTCAGGCTCAGGGACTGGGGGGGGCACGAAGCGAAGCAGCTGGTCTGACAGCTGACTCGAGTGAGATCGAAGTTGAGGGACGTCCTTAAGTACGTTTCTTTGCTCAGATGCTCTGTTTGGTTTTGCACATGCTGCCCTGGAATCACTGTTTAGAGAAGGGGCCGTCCTGGGTGGGAGAGGGTGTGAAGCCTGAGCTGTGTGTTGGGGAGGACGTGGGAGAGCTGCTGGCCCAGCCACGAGTGTGAACAAAGCCACTCTGGGCATTTCTGCTGCTAATAGCAGGTCGTTTGGTTTCCCCTTGGGATCACTGACTTCTAGTGTTGACTTGCAATGTGTAAGGTGAGACTTTTGGGCTTTTTTTCCCCCTGTTTGCAGACGACAAGTAGATCCAGAGTTTGCAGATATGATAAATGTACAAGAATTCTGCAAAGCACAAGACGTTGATGAAGACAGTGTCTACGGTGTCTTTGTCTCTTATATTGAAATATATAATAATTACATATATGATCTCTTGGAGGAGGCGCTGTTTGACCCCATAAAGCCTAAGTAAGTAGTGAAGAGAGTCCCTCCTCAGCTGCCTTGCCTTGGGGAAGTCACTTCGCATCAGGGAGCCTTAGTTTTCTCAACTACAAGCGGGGATGAAGCGTGCTTTTGTTTTCAGAGTGAAGTATAACTTGTGTGTCGTGCAGCTGGACTCAGAGCAGTTCTGTTATTACCAGGAGTGTGGCTGTGCTCGGGAAACCAGCGGGCGCAGACACCACGAGTAGGCTGTTCAGCTTAGACCTGGCTTCAGTAGCCTCTTGGCTCTGTGCTGTATTCTGGGAAGGGCCTTACCTGAA